TATATATTCTACACGTAAAGTTAATGGAAGAGCTGCTGATATCTTTCCAGATTTGGGCGGTCAATAAACTGAGGCGAATTCTACAATTAATATATTCTGAGTTCAGAATTAGTAATCGGCATCGGATCAAGAAGAATTTCTTTGAACAGGAAAAATGGAATGCTTGTTAGAATTGCCAATTACCGAGCGGGTATACGTGGCCTGTCTATCAAGTGGCGATGATTACGCTGATCAACGGACATCTCCATCCGTTACTAGAGCATTATTTACGATTCAAGCTCAAGATGCCAGCCACTGACAAGAAATTTCACAACATCATGACACTTGAAATTGCCGCAAAATTTATTGCCTCGCCGTTTGCCTCCCACCCGCCGCCGTGCGGACTTTTTTGTAAACCAGTCTTCGATGTTCGGTCTTTGGTCTCCAGTCTCCGATCTCCGATCTCCGGTCTTAAATGTCAAATGGCGCACGAGCTAAGAACACAATTCCCAACAAGAGATGCAACCTACACCAAATGCTAACCGGAGAATGCAGCAGCCAAGCATTTGACATTTTCAATGGTCAACAAACACAAAGAAGAAGCAGGAGACTAGCTCAAGTAGTTTGTAGTTGAGGCTGCTGGACGTGCTAGTGTAAGTGGGTCAGTGTGGAAGTAGCTCTGGAGCTAACCTTGCCAGCTTTCGTTTTCATTGAGTTGGGAAAAATTACACAATTGCCGCTGCTCGGTGACTCAGCGGGCACTCCAACACTCCGACAACTGGTAACTGGAAACCGAAAGACAAGCGTTTAATCTGACGGCGCTGAGGCTTTTGGCTTGGGTGGGCAATTGGCAGCAGAAGAGGTGCGGCTGCGCAGGCGGCCAGGCCCAAAATGTTTGTTTGTCTCGCTCTTTTCTTTTTATGGCAATCGGCAACACTTGACCAGTTTTTTAACACATGCTCTTCCGCTTGCGCTCGCTATTCATCTCTCGCTCACTCTCTTCATGTTTGACTCGCCGACCGGCAATGCGGTTGTTCAACTCTCCGCATTATGTTGCAAGTGATTCTTGCATCTTCGTAATCAAATTCATTTGCATTTTTTCCATTTGTTCCATTCCAACAGAAATTGGCTAGTAATCGTGGTAATCGCTTTTGCATGATATTATCGTCAGAGATTGACCCATTTTCCACAACTAATTAACATTTGCCAAGATCCATTACCCATTGCCGTTTTGAACTCAATTATCGTCTTGCCTCATCAGCAGCTTCGCTAGCCAAAACAAACAAAAAAGAGCCAAACCCGATCCACAGCAATGCGAGTATTACAACAATTTTCAGTTTCAGTCTATGCCACATATATTGTATGTCACTGTCCTCTATGCCGATAGTTCCCCCTGCCCGAGATTCCCCCAACAGCATTACAAGAATCCGAGCTCTAGCAGCCGTAACATCTTCGAAACGAAATATAGAGGCAACACAGATATGGAGAGCAATAGAGCGCACATCGACTCGAGAGACAAAACGAGAGAGAGAAAGAAAACGAGAGCGTGAGCGTAAAACTGGCTGAGAGACTGGGAGAGTATTTTGCAGGGTTCGGCTGCATTTTGGCGAAGACAACCAAACGTTGTCGAAGCTGCTGCAGAAAAAACTCGTTCTGGCTTATTTCTAAATAACGGCATTACGAAGATGAACGACCGGTAAAGTCGCCGACGATCCGCACACTTTTGCCGTGCCCATTACCATATCCAGTATGCATAAGTATTATGTGAAATCCGACGATGTCGCTTGACATAAACTCTCTATCGAGAGAAGGTCGAAATTTGTATATATTATAATATTGACTTATATTTGCATTTAAGATCATTAGATCCAATCGTCTGTAATAATTTAATTGTGTTATTTATGCCTAACGATTGGCAATAGTATTTAAAAACAACCTAACGGTTCTCTTAGCTTAGCCTCGAAATCAACAATTTAAAAAGTAAAAGTATTCTACTTTTCGCATCACCTTTATTCGAGCCATAATTATCAAGCTGTTCGCAAAAAGCTAACAACATGATGGCTGACTGGCTGACGGGCTGGCCGAAAGAGCAGCAACAGCATCTGCAGCTATGGCAATTGCAACTATTGTCAGTGTAGTTGTGCTGTAACTGTATCTGTAACTCTATCTCTATTTTGATCGTCGTCTCTCTGGCCAAGGCGCTCGCTGGCTCGCGGGCTCCAGCTGCGAGCGCAGGAGACGCTGACAAATGTCGCGGCTATATAAAGCACTTAAATAGGGCCGCCGCAGCACAGTTCGCATCGTTGCAGCTTTCACTTAACCAACCACACGGGCGCCGCATCAAACGCGCATTTGCCACTGCATTTAACTGTAAATGCACACAGCATCTAACGGCTATCAGCGAAATCCTTGCAAGTGAATCGTCAATTAAGCAATCGAAATGAAAGTGTTTGTAAGTTCCGACATTAGTGGATCGTCAAATTGGTTTTGCATGGGTTGTGGTTTGTGTCATTGAGGTGTCAAATATGATCAATAATAATCAAATATAATGTTATCACTCTAGAGACAAGCTAATATCCTGCAGAATTAAATGATTCTTGGAGGTTAATATAAATTAACTAAATTAAAGTTAAATAAATCATTACAAAAATAAAAAAATAAAAAAAATAACATTGATGTTCCGAATAAAATCAATTAAGAAATTATTTACTGTTGAAATGTAAAAATATTAAGGAATAAATCTACAAAAATTAATATGGAATTTTTATTTACAAAAAGTATTTATTGTAGTAAATAATTATATTCACATCAATTTTATTTTATTATAATTAGAAATCATAAAATTATACAAATTTTATAATTTTAAATGCGATTAAATCATTTAATATTATATTTTATTTTTTATATATTAACAATCCCCACTTTTTCAGTTGTATTTTTTTTATTAACAATATTTGACATTTGAGAAAATTATTAATAAAATCATAATTTAAAATATTGTCATGGTTTTTTGTTTAATTTTTAAAATTATTAAGATTACAAAATTTATTATTCATAAAATAAAAATACAATATTTATTCAAATTACTACTACAGATATTTAATAATAAAAAGCTATTAAAAATTTATTTATTGTCATTTTTTACATTGCCATAAAACTAATTAAAGTGTAAAAAGTTAAACAAATTTTATTTTAGGACAATTAATTAGTAGCTTTAAATTAATAAAAATATATACATATTTTTTTTTTAAATACAACAAAAATGTAATATAATTCATATCAGTCATCAAATTTATTTTATAACTTTATCCAAAAATTCCTGCCCTTAATATAAGCTGAACTTTCTCAAATAAAACCAATTTTAAAAAATTAAATTTCTTTCTAATTTAGATACTTATTGCGCTGTTTGCCCTTTCGTGCCATGCGCAGCATCACAACCAGCATCAGCACCAGCAGCAGCAGCATCATGCCCACCTCAATGCTAACAATATACCGCGTGATGAGAAGGCGGACCATCGGCGTGAGGATCAACGCGAGACCAGCACCTGGATACCCATACTGAAGTACAACAAGGAGCAGAGCGAGGATGGAAGCTACAAGACCGAATACGAGACTGGCAACAACATCATACACGAGGAGACGGGCTTCCTCAAGGACTTCGACACCAATCCCAATGGCGTCCTGGTGCAGCACGGCCAATACTCCTACCAATCACCAGACGGCACCCACGTCAACGTTCAGTACACGGCCGATGAGAATGGTTTCCGCGCCACAGGGGATCATATACCCACTCCGCCAGCAATACCTGAGGAGATACAGAAGGGTCTGGATCAGATCTATGCCGGCATCAAGCTGCAGCAGGAGCGCCTGGAGCAGCGTGCCAAGAGCGATCCCGGCTTTGCCAAGAAGCTGGAGGAGCGACGCCTGGCCAACCAGAATGGCCAGTACATTGGCCTGCTGGAGAATTAGTAGAGAGTCGACGCTCACACAACGTAAACCAAAACCTCTCAACCAGATAACGTGCTGCATTTTTTGAACATTTTCCAAATTTCCAAATTTTTACAACTTTACAACTTGCCTCCTTCACTGACCATAACCAGCCGAGAGACTGTGATTTCTGCTATAAATTCTACAAAAAAACAAAAGTTAATGAATCTAACACTTTGCAAACAGCCGCAGCACACAGATATTTATGTTAACGATCGTGAAAGTTTTGTTGAATAAAAGAAAATAATCACAATAAAGGCGGAAAAACAAAATTTCCATTCAACACACACGCGACCCCAAGTAAACATTATTCAATGATTTTCCATTTCCATATTATACCCCTACACATACGCACACACACCTGTACACACCTATGCACATACCTCCATAATGTTCACAATACGTGACAATGCGCTATGGGTTTTTTTTTTTTTTTTTAATTCTTTTTTTAGTTTCTGTTGGCTGTTTTTTATTGTTATTATTATTTGATTTTTGTATTCACAGCTTAAATTACCTCACGAGTCCGTTTGTTGATCCCATTCCATGGTGCATAATCTTTTTTTGTATAAATATTTAATATTTTCCATTTTCCATCCGCGCAATTTTCCATATGCCTTACTTTGTGCATGTGGCACAGTCACAGACTTTTGACAGTCCCGTCAGACCAGCTGTTGCATAATTTTTTGGCAGCTTTTCTTTTGACGTTTTGACTTGGTTTCGATTTTTGCAAGTGGTTTCGTCTCGAAGTCACTCGAGTGCTGCTTCACTGAGCTCCATTCCAAAAGAAAAATAGAAAAAAAAAAAAAAAAAAAAAAACTGCGACTGGAAAATCTGAATTATGAGATGCACATGTGAAGCTTATGAAACTTTAATGTAAAAAGTATTGGAGTCGTGGAAACTATGGGAGCGGTGGCAATTGGTAATAAGAGATACCCTGTAAGCCTGCAAGATATGATATATGATGATGGTATAGAAGAAAACTAAAGATAAAATGAAACTCGTTCATGAAATAAAATAAAATCATAAGAAATAATTCGAAAATCAAATCTCTAGAGTTCGTATAGACTTGGCAAGGCTAATGATAATAAAAAATCGGAAGCCCTTTAATGCTATAGCATTATAATGAATTGATACACTTATCTCAACGCCAATTGAAAGAAAGTCATTAAATATTCAAAATATTTTATTCACCTTTAACTCTCGCCTTTAAACTCCATTGAAATCTTTTCACACTTTTCGGCCTACTACTGTTTTACCGTTGGACCAATCAATGTGGTGAAAAGTTTGGCCCCCAGCCATCGTCGTCAGCTTTTGGAGATATTTACAGACAGCTCGCATAAACGGTGCCAAAAAATCAACAAGAAAACTTTGTTAGTAGCACAAACGAGACGAGTTGTCTAGTAATTTGCATAAATCTAAGCATATACGAAGCTTTACATAGTATATATTTGATATACAGATACATATATGTATGTGTGTATGCATATGTGTTTATCTATCTAGAACCCTCTATGTTGACTGCTGTGCTCGGCACAGCGAAGTATTTCAGGCCCGCTGCATTTTCACCAACCACAACGAAAGAATGTTTATTCGCCATTAAATTTTAACGCTCTTGCGCATAATTAAGCGAAAACTGAACAAAAGAAAACATTTCAATGGCCATGATTAAGAATGTTTCTCTGGCCGTCCACTGGCCGTCGATGGTGCTGTGGCAGCAGCCCAAGCGGCCGCAAATTGATTTGGCCAACGTCAGTTGCCGTTTAGAAGCCGCCGTGTTTAGACCACGAAACGTGCAAAAGAAATAGCCAAACAGAACGTGCAGAAAACTGAGTGAAAAATAAAAATAAAGAAAATAAGAAAAGAAAAATAAAACAGAAATCTAAAGTTTGAAATCTGAAATCAACATCAACAAAGTGCGAATATCGATGGGCAGGTGGAATTGAGAGTCGATAGCCCGCTTGAACAATGAGTTGTTGCCGTTGTTTTGTGTGCCAGCTGCAACAACAAAGCCTAACAATAAAACTAAGCTAACTGTGAATCGCAGATACAAAACAAAAACTAACAGCAGCAGCAGCAGCACCAACAGCAACAACAACAATAGCAATATCCACTTCAGAAGTGGCACATCATTTCAGTAAATAGAAACCGAAACCGAAACGAACTGAAACCGTTTGAGCTTTTGTCTCTTAGTCCAGTTTAACTATGGCCAGCAAACAGTTGTCTCTTCGAATCTTGTGGCTTTTGCTCGCACTGAGCCGCCAGCCGAACGTCCTCGGCCAGGACGAACCCGATGCACAGCAATTGCAGGCGCTACGGCCACGGGGCCGTGTACGCATTGCAGATATGCAAATGGCGGCTCAGCAGCCACCGGCGCCACCATCCGCGCCAGCCATGCTGGGCCACGGCTCCATCAACTGGCCGGGCTATGCGCCAATCGTGCCCAATGTGCTGCCCATGCCGGCCAGCTCCACGGTGCACACGCACATTCCGCTTCTGCGCGAGCAGCCGGATAACAAGGCGCCGAGCGAGCAGCGCGGCCCAGACAGCGTGGTGTACGGCAACTGGAAGCCGGAGCTACCACAGATGCCGCCTGAAGCCGGCGAGGAGCCGCCAAAGCAACGCAAATATGGACGCCTCGAGGCCATGCTCATGGGCATGCCAGCTGATGGTGAGTGGGTAGAGCTAGACCCAGCCTAATTTGATCTCAATCCCATGCATCACAACTAATAGCAATCAAAGCATTTAAATATTACTCAACATTAAATTAAAGACGCACTCATCTACTCACACTTGTTGCAGCCACCGATAGGCGCGACACATCCAGCGAGGAGATGTTGCCGGAAACAGAGCAACGCACTGCATCTGTGGGCTATCAGAATCCCTATTCGCGTCGCGATAGCTTCGAACATTCGCAGGAAACCCGCGGTCGCTGGCGCATACCAACGCAACTGCATCCATCCCAGCTGCAGCCGAAAGCGCAACCACAGCCGAAGCAATCGGCGATCGAAGTGGTGCGCTTGAATGCAACGGATCCTCTGATGCGAGAGATGGCCCAGCAAATCAACGAGTCCGTTGAGACAACGACAGCCGTACAGAGACGTAAGCATGTGCAAACCACAGAGGATAACTGGATGCCGCTGCCCTATCCATATCCCACGCCCACCTTTGAGAGCACGCAGCCCGTGCCCCGGGTGAGTCCAGTGATGAGCAGCACGGCAGCGCCCACGCCCAGCGCGGGCCTTGTGGAGTCCACCACCGTGGCGCTCAATTGGCCCACAGACTTTCTGGATGCCACGCCCAGCAGCACTGAGCGCATCTACACCGATGCCGGCAGCAGCATCGATCGCGTCGATCACATCGACAGCATCGATCGGCTAGACGACGACATCGATGACTATAAATACTATGAGGAAAATCTCAGCTCGGCTCAAATGCAAAGCGAGCTGAGCGTGCCGGAGACGCAGGTGCCACAGGTGCCACAGGGGCCCCAGATGCCGCTCAATATCACGCGCGTTGGCATTCCCTACGAGGAGCGCAACTCCGCCGAGGAGCCGACCATCTGTGTGCCACTGACCGTATCGGAGATGGCCACGGAGAGCTCAACGGCGGTGCTGGTAGAAGTGGAGCGCGTCTATTGCTTTCCGCTGCCCAAAGTTGAGATCAAGACCGGCAAAGTGCGACAGCAGTTCGTGCCGCAGGCAACGGAGCAGGAGCCCAGCTCCAATGCGAATGTCACAGCCGTGGACATGGAACACCCTCAACCAGAGGCGACTGCAGGTGCTAGTCATCCGACCAGCTGGGCATTACTACTCATCCTATGGAGCTACGTCTTGGTTCATTTATAGTCTAACTAACGCGATTACAAATCGCTGAATCTTAACTCAGGGCCTATTTGTAATTAGAGAATCGAAACATATTTATTTACATCATTAAAGCTGAACCAAACCCATGTAACTAGGCGATATTTTTCTCAGTTAGCTTCTACTTCAGTGAAGAAAAGAGCAGCCTCCAATTGAGAGTGAGTGAGACGTAGTTGACGTCAATCGATTGTTTCGAGTGTTTAGCTAAATGATGTTTATTTTGATCTTCACTTACCTGGGAATTGCTTTGGTGATTGATTTTTCAGATTACTGTGAAGCATTGAGCTAAGTAAGCAATTGTGATTTCAATTACTCCACTTTGCTCCACTCCAGTTGCTTTCAATGGGATCGTCGATGGATTCTAATAACTGTATGACTCTGTAGCCCTGGCAAGATCCCGTGTTGGTTTATACAGAGAATTGCATTCTTCCAGTTAGATGTCACTGAAAAAGATGATGTTTAGCTTTATCGAGGCTAATCAAATAATCAGCTATATGTATACATATATATTTCTTTCAGCAGCTCTTCCAAAAGAACAAAAGTTATCATGAATTCTAATCAAATAAATCTAATTATTAAAGCATACTTTTTGGTAGCACATTAAACAATTATTTAACCATATTTTGGGGTAAGCAAACCATGGTACATATTGCAAACTAGTTAGGGAATATTCGACTAAGAAATACCTAAATATTAGCAACAGCTTCTCAATGACTCCAACGAAACGCCAAACCTGATCGTTCCTTGACCTTCTGGCTAATGGGAAAGTCAAAATACTCATATCTGTATATAGTATAAGTATAATCAGTTGGTGTTAAACCGGACTGTTTGATGATAATAATATAATGGAAAAGCATTATAGATTTAGAAGAAACAGAATATTCGTTTTTTTTTTTTTTCTTTAAGAAAATACCTTAACTAATCAATATTCACAGGGACATATCAACATTCATTTTCACAAATACTCTACACGTACTTAAATAGGTGTCACTAGACTAATACAAATACCCCCTATCGATCTACGCTCGACTGGGTCAGTTGCTCTTTGACCGTGCGACGCATCACTTTGCCGCTGGCAGTTACGGGCAGTTCGTTGGTGAAGTAGGCGCCTCCATGGAGCTGCTTGTGGTTGACCACGAGCCGCTTGGCCACATGCTGTTTGACCTGCTCGGCGGTCAAGGAGCTACCGGGCCGCTTGACTATCATGGCAGCGGGCGCATCGCCGTATTTGTCGTCGTAGACGCCCACGACACACACCTGGACGACATCGGGCAGCTCGCTAATGACGGCTTCGATATCGTTGGGCGAGTATTGCATGCCCAAGCACTTGTAGATCTCCTTCTTGCGGTCCACAATGTACAGATTGTTCTCCTCGTCGACGTAGCCCAGATCGCCCGTGTGGAACCAGCCGAGAGAGTCATACATGCGCTGAGTTTCCAGTGGATTGCCGTAATAGCCCTTCCAGTTGCGGCCGTGGTTCACATAGACCTCTCCGACCTTGCCGTAACCCAGATTCTTGCCGTCCTCATCGACAATGCGAATCTTAATGCCGGCATTGAGTTTGCCAACTGTGTTGCCAAGCTTCTCATTGAAGGCACCGGCGCACACTCCTCCGAATTCTGTAGTTCCGTAGCCAAAATAGACAAATCCCCTCTGAATGAGCTTCTGCAGCTTCTGCAACGTCACCGAGGGTATCCAACCGCCCCCGACGGCTACTAAGAACACCGAGGCCAACTTCTCCGGCGTGGCCTGCGGGCAGGCGACCAACTCGCTGGCGTGACGCGGTGCAATGCTGAGGATGTTGATCTTATACTTGGTCACGAGCTGTAAGATATACTCCGCACTGAAGGGCTTGTCGGCTATGATGCGCGTGCAGCCATCTACGACGGAGTACATAAAGTTGATCAGACCCGAATACCAGTCCAAGCTGGAGCCGCAGTAAATGACTGCCTCAGAGCTGAGGAAGCTGCAAGGGACATAACCTGATTATGTAATCTAAAGTTGATAAGGAATCGATTAACACTTACGGGTTGCTGCACGACAGCATGTAGTTGGCCATGCACACGGCCTTGGGCTTGCCCGTCGTGCCAGACGAACACAAGATGGCCATGGTCTGCTCCCCGCCGAAGATCAAAGGTTGAGGTCTGTGATATAAATAACATATTGATAAGCAGGACGTATTATTTATGAATACGATGACAACTTACTGATAAAACATTTCAGTGTTGGTTGGGGCAAGGAATTCCTCAACGTATGGCACGCCCTCCACTTTACCTGTCAGCGTTACGAACTCGGGTGACCATGCCGCGCTCGCCGTCTTCAGCTTCTCCAGGTCGGCGGCATCGCAGAAGAACAGCGATGGCTTTGTTATCGCCAGCACGTGGCTGAGTGTCTCGGGGTCCAGGATGGGGTTGACGGCGTGAAAGGGCGTGGCATTGAAGAGGCAGGCAACCGCCACTGGCGTAACGTAGGTGCTGTTCTTGGCCGAGATGCAGATGACGTCTTCGTGACGTAATCCGCGTTTCTTAAAATTCTGCGCCAGGCGCACGGACCAATTGAATACGTCCCGATTTGTCGCAGTTTTTCCATCCGCCAGGCATATCTATAATATATAGCAATGATTAAGCTATATACTTGTCGGCTATCCGTATTTATTCTGCAACTCACCTGGCATATGTGATTAGGATTATTCCTGAGCTGATTGTGCACTATGCGACCGTACGAGCAATCAAAATCGTACATGGGCGACGATTTCGAGCCACTCCAGATCCGTGCAATGGGATCGTAGTGAGTTTTGAAGAATTCGTCCATTCTATTTATTTTTTATTAGCTCTGATCGCCTTCAGTTTCAGCTACTAAATAACTAATTCCCTGAAGACCACTCAATTAAATAGTAAAAATATTGTCTTTTATCAGTAAATGCTGAGCTCACGGTGATTAGCCGAAAACAAAAGAAAACAAAAACAAAAGCAAAAACAAAAAACAGGAATAGGACCATAAACTTCATAAGCGTTAGCCAATAGGAGTCGTATAGAAAATTTACGCTACGCTTATCTAACGCCTAGTCCAACCCATTATCAGGTGCACACGTATTTCTTAGAGCCATTATCTTTGGATTCAGCTTCGTTAGAGCTTTAATTGATTGTATATAACGGGAAATCTGATCGAAGTAATCAGCTACTAGTCTGATTTTAATAATCTAGCAATAAAACCCCCTATATACCGTTATGTTACTAGGTTATTAATCTAAACTCATGCCGATTTATGATGCCTTTCCTGGTCATTGGCATTTCTGGTATTTCCAGATTATGCTTGAGGCAAATATCATTGAAGATTTTCAATGTAAAGCGCGTATCTTGAGTAATCAAGCAATTATGCCATATAAAAAGAGATTTGTGAAGAACTGAATCAATCAGAAGCTGATAATATTATCAGAATCAAATGCAATCTGAAGTGCCATGCGAACTGCTTCCTCATTAACTCGTGCCTCACCTTTATCAAAAAATAAATTCATATTATTAACTTATGCAGAATCGTATCAAGATAAATATATATATATAAATAAATTCTCATGATAATGAGCTCAATTTAGCCAGCTGCATAATCAGCCTGCCCGTTCCTCCGCTGGGCAATTGAAAGCTTCACTTAGGCATTCTTATTAGATTAGCTTAATTATAAAGTTCTTGTTTTCTGGTTATTTTAAGAATCAATGCTGACGAAATCAGCCAGACCCAAGTGTTTCGACTTTACCGCTGAATCAGCTAGCCTTGAGATTAGACTATCTGGAAATGCCGAAGTGCTTGAATAAATTCATATCTGTTTGGCAACTTATTATGGCTAAAATTTATGCCTTATAGAAGCGTTTGATAGATCTTGTTAAATATGTAATTGAAAGTCTGTTTGTCTGTTTGTTTGTGTTTATGCATGTTAAGCCCCTTATCAGCCGGCTCTCAAGTACTCTTTCTCATAACGTAAAATATACAATTCAGGTGAATATTTGTTCATTGGCTCAATTGGGCTGAGCAAGAAACACCTCCTTGGCGCTCTTGCGCAGAGTCTTTCCGTTCACATTGGCCGGCAGCTTATCCACAAATCGCACTCCGGCACGCAGCTGCTTCTGCATGCCGGTCAGGCGCTTGGCCACATGATCAATCACCTCCTTGGCGGTGATTTCACAGCCTGCACGCTTAACTATTAGAGCGCCAGCCGCATCGCCTGAACGCTCGTCGTAGATGCCAACGACACAGACGTCCTGCACCTGGTGCAGCTCCGCAATGGTGCCCTCGATTTCGGTGGGCCAGTAGTGCAGTCCCTGGTACTTGAGGATCTCCTTTTTCCGATCGACAATGTACAGGAAGTTCTGCTCATCAAAGTAGCCCAGGTCGCCGGTATGGAACCAGCCCTCGAAGTCCTGCATGCGACGCGTCTCGACGGGATTGCCGTAATAGCCGTTCCAGGCCTGTCCCGTGTGCACATAGATCTCGCCCACCTGGTTATAGCCCAGGCTCTTGCCGTCTTCGTCGACAATGCGGATTTTGATGCCCGGCAGGAGCCGGCCCGCTGAGGCGGTATTGCTAATGCCAATGTTCACTGTTATGGCACCCACCTCGGTCATGCCGTAGCCCGAGTTGAACATGGCCGACTTGCATATCTCCTGGGCACGCTGTAGTGTGGTCAGCGACACCAAGCCTCCGCCGTAATTCAGCATACGCAATGGCTGAAGTGCTTCTGTCGTGGCCTGTGGACAGGTGACCAGGGCAGACAGATGCCTGGGCGGCACCACGGCATAGTTGATCTTGTACTTCTGGACCAGCTCCACAAAGTAGGACGGCTCAAAGGGTCGGTTGGTTATGATGCGAGTGCAGCCAAACACAGTGCTGAAGACGAAGGCCAACAGCCCAGTTAGCCAATCCAGCGAGCTGGCCACAAAGATCACCGATTCGCTAGTCACGAGCCTGCCAAGTTAACAAGGATTAAGAATAAGTAATTCCAGGCGCAAACAATGGGGATCTTACAAGCTATCCTGTATTAAAATACTATTCGAAATGCAAACGGCTTTGGGCATGCCTGTGGTGCCCGAGGAGCACAAGATGGCAACTGTTTGATCGCCGCCAGTCTTTAAAGGCTCCGGCCTAAATAGAAGAAAAGAGAAGAGAGAATATGTAGTAATATAACATTTATGCATATAATAGCTAGCTCACTTACTGATAGAACATTTCGGTGGTAGTTGGATCCAACAGAGTCTCTATATTGGGCACGCCCTCAATGGGATCGCTCAAGGTGTATATCTCTGGATGCCAGCCTAGCGTAGCCGCGCGAATTTTCTGGTAATCGGCACCATCACAGAATATTAGCATCGGCTTCGTTATTGCAAAGACGTAATTAACGGTGGCTATATTAATTAAATTAATTGCGATTACATTGACGCAATCCAGATAAGATTGACGAATACGATTCGCATACCTTCGTCGAGCAAGGGATTCACCGAATGGAATGGCGTGCCATTCATGAGGCAGGCCACGCCCAAGGGCATGACGTAGGTGGTATTTTTAGCAGCGATCCCAATCACGTCCTTGTGGTTGAGGCCACGATTTTTCAGGTACTGCGCAATGCGCACGGCCCAGGTGATGCCCTGCTCATTGGTCACAGTGACGCCATCAATGTCGTTAATCTACGCATTTGAATAACAGTTTTTAACTTCCATAAACTGGCAGCACGATATTTCGTTTGCACGCACCTGACACACGTTTTTTGGCCAATTCTTCATGGTATTGAAGATTACCTTGCCCACAGATATATCATAGTTATAGATGGAGCTCCGCTTGGCTCCACACCATGTATTCTCCTTCTCATTGTAGGTGGTCGGTATTGCAGCCATACTGATGCCTCGGCCTAGATGCACTTACATGTAAGTTACCGAGGCATATGTCCCATCTATTTATATTGTCAACTGGCTGCACATGATCAACTTGTTTTCTATAGCCACTATCCATTGGAGTGGATCTGTAATCTGTAAGTGTGCACTGCCTGTTAGATCTAATCAGCACATAATGACTTAGCCATCGATAGTGTATCAGAAGACACTTAGAGTGCATCAATCCAAGCACTCGATTGTATACTTATCCCTATTCAAATCAATACAAAACTATAAATGCATTCATTCATGTCCACTTGTTGCACAGTAATCGCCTGAAATGCGATTTTCGGCATAAATCCAAGTCAAATGAAATAATAAGGTAGCTGACTATAAAAATCTTAGCAATCAGTATATTATGGCATTGTAACATTTATAGTTAGGCTTCCACGAACGACCTATTGTATGGGGCAGATAAAGATAGGCAGGTGTTTAAATGGATGAAGCTTTCGCTAATTTATAAACGAGGTACTTAAAGTATTAGCCTGGAATTTCCCTAGTTGTTATTTGACTTTGAACTGCGTAGATAAGATACAGTTTTATAATTAATAAGAAATTTTCAGTATTAGCTATTTAATTCTGTTTGTACAAATATCTCTTTATTTTGTTTATTAATTAAAAATTGATATATTTTATTGAACTAGTCTTGGGTCCCCTTTAACGGGAACTTAATCTAACTTTACATATCAAAAATGATAAAAAATGAATTTAAACAATTCTATATCTCTAAAGTGCGTCATTCTCAAGGCTCATAACCCGTGATATTGCTTCGAAATAAACAACTTTGTGTACATGCCATTAAATCAAATCTCGTGGCGGCTAAAAACTTTCAAAAAAATAATGTAACAGCCCTGTGCTTTTACATTTGAACTTCATCCATCGATATGGCAACGCTGCCAGCAGCTGACTTCTTATCTGCGGCTTGTTTATGGGCGGTATTAGCGTGGTAAGTGCGTGTTATTCTTGTTAACTGCCAAAAGGGAGCATTCTCTTGAGTAAAATTTAATATAATGGGAATAAAAGTAAACAATATCTTGCCCTATGGTAAGTACATATATTTCTGTCCATCATTCTCATATTGCTATTGATCAACTTACACATTCTCAGATGCCTCCCTGCTCAAGGTAAACTTTTCACTGCCTGAACTCAATAAGAATGCATTGAGCTTATCAGAAAACTCGACTGTGACGGGTGATTACGAAGTCGCGTGGGCTCTCAAGGCCTTAATGCTAACGGACCTGACCACCCTGGCTGGAGATGATACTGCCTCCAATGTGAGGCGGCTTTGTGTGCGGGCGAGTTTGCCCTTTGAACCTCAACTTCTTGAGAAATCTGTCGAGGAGAGCTTGCTCCCAGACATTCATTGTGCTGCTGTTTGCGTCTATCCCGCGCGTGTAGCAGACGCATACAAGGCACTGAAGCAGCTTGACAAATTGAATGAGATATCAATAGCTGCCGTGGCCACTGGCTTCCCTACCGGCCAATATAGTTTGAAGTCACGTCTGGAGGAAATCAACTACGCTATCGAATCTGGTGCCACAGAGATTGATATCGTTATCAATCGACCGCTGGCGCTGGTGGGTGACTGGGAAGGCGTATACAACGAGGTGGTCCAGATGCGTAAGGCCTGTGGCGATCGTGCACATCTAAAGACCATCCTGGCTATTGGTGAACTGGGCTCCATGGAAAATGTTAGTATCCCCTATTACCCCAGATTAACCCAAACTCATTTACCTACTTTCTATTCGCAGGTATATAAAGCTTCCATGGTGTGCATGCTAGCAGGAGCAGACTTCATCAAGACATCCACAGGCAAGGAGGCGGTAAATGCGACACTGCCCGTTGGCCTGGTCATGATATATGCCATACAGGAGTTTAAGCGACGCACTCAGCAAATTGTGGGCCTGAAGCCAGCGGGCGGTGTACGAACTGTGCGAGACGCCATTGCCTGGATGACGCTCATCAAGAATACTCTCGGCATGAACTGGCTGCAGCCCGAGCTCTTCCGATTCGGTGCCTCGGGTCTGCTCGATGATATTGAAAGGGTTGTGCGCGAGGGCATCGCTCAGCACGCTTAACTGACAGCAGATTCGGATTGCCACACGAAGCATTCCCAAATGAAGCTTTACACGTAATTATGATTGAACTAAACACTTTGTTTGGTCTACTGAGCATTTATCCCCGTAATTGAGTAATATGTAACTGTATAAATATATTTTTGTATTTTTGTAACCGACTACAATTAAATAACAGTTGTCCTGGCCGCAGTGCACCGCTAAGCAGGCTGCTTCACAGCTTCCGTTGGCTTGTAGCTGTATGTGAGCTGGGCAGGCGCGGCCATCAGATCATCCTCGGCCAGCTGTTCGCCGTGCTGCAGCAATTCGGCGGGCACAGCGCTCGACTCCTTGTGAGGCTGATTGTCCGGCGTCTTCACGTGCATGTCAACCGCGAAGAAGGAGTCATCAAAGTTGATGCGATTGCGCTCATCCTGCTCCAAATAGATCGCCTTGGGAGCAACTCCGCCCATTGCCTTCTCGTATGTGTTGAGCCACTTGAGGTTGACGTGCTTGGCGGCCGCATTGAACTTCTTCGGCGTCTTCTTTGGCTTGTCGGCGTAATAATTGTGCTCCTGCTGCAATCTCTGTGGCGGCGGCGCAATTTTCTCCATGTGCCGACTCTTCGCGTCCAGCTTGGGATCAATGTAATCGTAGAGCGGCAAGTAGAAGTTATAGGGCTGATCTGTGGGTGGCAACATGTACTGCTGTGGCTGCACCTGCATCTCTACTTGAGGCTCCAATTGACTGCCGGCCGATTCAGAATCAGCGACCTGGGCAACCGGACCAAATATTTCACCTGCACGCCGGAGCAAATGCTCCAGCCGTTCAATAGTTATGATTTGCGGATGCAATAGCTGCACATCCTCCTGCAGCTGTGCACGACGCTGTGCTATTGATGACGTGGGCGTGGCCGCCACACTTGAGCAAAATGCCCACAACAGCAACTAAAGGAGTGCGAGAAAGAGAGAGAGAGAGAGGGAGAGGCGAGTGTTTTAGGTAACAGATCTTACGGCTGCAACTCCAGGCACACTCACTATCAATGACCCATTCGACATGGCGAGTTTTCTTTAGCTTTTGTAGCGTAGCTATTATTAGTCCATATACGTTGTTGGAGCAGCTGTCGTCAGTTGCCGTTGCAAAGATCGCACAATGAGTAAGGCGGCCTGGACACAGCGAATTCATTTATACTCCACACACTGCAATCATTTTCCATTTTCCCAGTCTTAAAACGGAAGCTCTCGGAAGTCTCCACAATCAACAATAGCAACAACTGCACTCCAGGCACAGTTAGCTGGAAAACGAGTTTTCCCAGTGCAAAAGAAATAAATATATAACGAGACAACTTCACACACACACACACGCCTCGCTGCATAATAATGTTAATGTAACAACCCATGCGACGAACAACCTGAAGTTGAACAAACTGGATGCGAGTTTGTCACTGGTAATGAGTTCGTTGCAGCCAGCGGCAACGAGCGAAATTGCGTCAAATGGTCAAGTAATCGCTGCAAAATTGTCCAATCCCAAAGAAAAGTCGGCCGCTTGCACCAAGTGCATTGACTTTAACAGTGTGTAAACGTTATGACAAAAACAATGGATCTACTTGGGTAGACGAATTCAAAATACTCTTACAAGTTTCCAAAGTTGAAATGGATTAAAAGTTTTCAAAATATTTTCCACATTCTTTATATAGCTATGTATATCCAATAAAAATATGTTGTTTTTTTTTTCGTACTTTGCATTGACATTCGGCTTAATAATTAATCAAATTTCTACCATCTCTGACTTATTCAATTTCTGATTTCCACAAATTAGAAATCTTTTTTAAATATTATCAATGCATAAACAAATGTATTATACCCACTTTAAGTTAGTGTACAAAATTGTCGTTCACATAATTTCCGCAGCGTGAGATGTGAACTCGTTTCGATTGTTGCAACGAGAGCCAAACACATTTGTTATATTTTCTATCGTGCCAGCCGTAAAAGTGCAAGTTCAAAGTTACAGGAAATACTAGACCGGTGGCAATAGCAACAAAAAAGCATTAACAATTTGTAACGATTACATCTTGTTCATTGACTCTATATTAGACAAACAACTATATAATTTCGGCACTGTTCGTATGGGGGGATCATGTTTGCTGTAACTCGGGCAAACCTTTTATGATAATATCCAGTGCTTCCATGTCTTTGTTAACTGTTTCTTTCAGCACTTCCATGGCGCGCTGCTGCATTGTCATTATGGTCCTCATCTCATCCTCGGCGCTTTTATCTAATGCATATTCCGGCAGGCCAGTGCTAGAAAATTGACTGCGCTGCATACGAATCTGGGAGAGTAGCTCGCTCAGCCGGCCCTTGAACTGAGTGGGCGCAGAAACAACAGCCTGCATATTCTGCAGCTTGGTGCGCAGTGCCTCCTCCTCGGGCGTCAATGTGGTGCCCACCTTACGGGTGCATTCTTGTTTCACAACAATCTGTGAAAGAAATTTTATAATTTTGAATATATCTAAAAAGATATCAAATTCATATTCGCTTACCCTTAGTATGCGATGGCTCATTTCGGCCAACTTCCGTTTGTGCTCCATTATCCTGGCTGTTGCGGAAGCATGGCGTCGCCGCAGTTCCTGTAACTCGCCTTCCACCTTCTTCATGTACAGCGCATGCGTTTCGGTCTCCTGTTCCTGGCATTTGACACGCCATTTCAAATCGTTGAAGCCAATCATGGGCACAGGTATAAATTGACTGGCATCTGGGTTGTCTAAATTGGCCTGTCGCCACATGCGTGGGTCAACGCTGCGCGGGGGGTTCTCTAGGTATTCTTTCAATTGATCCTCATCGGGTAGCGTAAGTGCCAAGGCTTCTGTCAATCCCAGATTCGTCAATTGTGGCTTCACTGTTGCCTGATTTAAATAAGCGGCCAGCTCAGTGGCAAGTATCCGCTTGCTATCATGTGGACCGTGTGGAATCTGCACTTTCTCCTCCACATAGATAACCATTTGGCACTTTTTATTCTCCAGCTCTTTGAGAACGTCGATGTGCACCAAAAGATTTGGCTTGCTGCCCATAAGACTGTGCAGGGTTTGTACAATCTGTTGCTGTTGCGTCCTATAAATGCAAAGATGATAATGAAGGTAAAATTCAGATAGGCTGTTAGCACTCACTTAATCGTTGCTAACTCCCGATCAAAGTTGAGTGCGACAAGCCCCAGCTTGTTGTCCTTGCCAGGCATGCGACTGTAGCCAATAGCCTTGAAACGACATAAGTAATTCTCCTGCGTAATGTCCACTGGAGCTGCACTTTGGGAGTAAAATAGTTTGCCAGTGCCCCACATTGCCTGCAGATAGTTCCATTTGGCTACAATGTTATCACGCTCATCGCCAAAGATGGAGACGTTTAGAATGGCCTGCGCGAACGCTTCATCCGCTGAAATTGGGACAGGCTGCTGCTGTGGCTGTCCCAACATAAAGTTTGTACCGCCAAAGCCTCCAAAGCCGGGAGTCACTGTCGGCGCAGCTGGTTTTCCGAAAGCTGCAACAATAATTGCTATAATTAATATATTCTCTATGAAAGGAACTTAGGGAATTTTACCTGATGATCCAAAAGTGCTGCCACCAAATGCTGACGTCTGGCTGGTGCCAAAGCCCCCAAATGCTGGTGTTGTGGTCGTTGTTGCTCCAAATCCGGAGAATCCGCTAGCAGGCGCGTTGCTCGACGTTGGCAGCTGTCCAAACCCACTGAAAGCAGGCGGAGCCGAACTTGCGGGTGTTGAAAATAAGCTGGGCTGATTTGTCGGTGCTGTCGTGCCAAAGCCACCAAATCCGCTGCCCAGTGTTGCAGCGGGTGCACTTGTTGGAGCACCGAAGGCTGTGGGTGCGCTACCAAACGCAGACGTTGATATATTGCTTCCAAAAGCCGGTGCCGCAGTTCCGCTTGTCGCACCAAACGCTGAGCCAAACATACCGCCCGCTGTCCACAGAATAGATAAGTATAACAGAAAGGGGTCAATGCTTGAAATGTTTTGTTGCTGGTCCAGCTTCCGCGTAACAAATCTTATCAGTTCGAGAGAGGGTTAAGACTTAGTATACTAAAGAAGCTGGACAGCAGCAGATGTGTTTGTTTTTCCCACTATGTCATTGCTCATTGTATTTGTAGTATTTCTGCTGGTTTGCGTTGCCTATGTCGGCTTTGTTATTCACAAAAAGGAGTAAGTCTAGCCTTGTTGCTGATATCTTTTTACTTGTTGAAGAATCCTAAATCTCAAACTTTTCAAACATTTCAGAATTAATCCAAAGGAAATACGTGTGAGTAACTTTCAGGATGCGAAGAAGTTGCTCACCCTGCCTTCAACTGCTGACCCGCAACGCTATTTGGCGAAAAGAGCTTGACCGGAATTTTATTCAAATACCGCATGCATTTTTCGTGTCATTCCCACCTGAAGAATGAAATCCGATGTCTACTTACGTTTAGCCGGCGTGCTAGTCGCACCCAGAGATGTGTTGCCACCAAAGAATGACATAATGACTCTTATTCAGCGCTTATGTTTATATTCCTCGCTTAGGTCTGAACAGATGTGAAGTGCTTTTTAATTAAAAACTAATTGTAAAAGAAAACTAAAAACCAGAAATTTTGGCGCTATCAACACGCTCAACAATGCTATATTGGGAAGGAGAAGGTTTCGATAGACTTGGCATTGTCAAACCATCGATATTTTAAAAACTATAATAATTTCAATACGATATATTCATCGGATAGAACAATGAATAAAATGTCGAGAATCATCACATTTGGATTTGTGATGTCATAAAAAAATTATTTTCATAACAATTATTAACATAGCCCCTACTGTCGGTAATTTTATGATGTAATTATCATTTTTTAGTGTTTGTTTCAAAAAAGATCTTGCGGCTCAATTTTTCAATTGGCATACTAATGCTTTCTGCGTACCTCATTTAGTTTGCTTGTGACGTTTTGCCTTATTAAAAGAGTAATCTTCTAATTTCGTTTTGCATTTGGTAATTTGTAAGGGGAATAAATTAAAATAAAATTATTCAAAATGAGCAAGTATACCTCAAAGTATCTGGAAGACAAGCTAAAAGAAAAACTTGACGCAACCTATGTGCAGGTAACAGACGAATCTGACGGATGTGGTGGAAAATTCAGCGCTATCATTGTATCTAAGGCATTTGAAGGGAAAGCACTCCTGCAGAAGCACAGATTGTAATTTGGTCTATACTTAAATGTTAAAATATATAAAAATAAATAATACAATTTTGATTTAAGAGTTAACACGACGCTCGCCGAAGAACTTAAGGAAATACACGCTTTCTCGCAAAAATCATACACACCAGCTGAGTGGGAGAAAGTGCAACAGCAATAGCTAGAGCAGTAGCAACCGTAACCAGTTACTTCATTGCGGAGTCCAAAAACCTGTACATGCATGCATGTGTGTGTGTAGCCGATTTAGCCAGCCAACGTCAGACAACATCAAAGCAGTCGAAACTTAAAACAGTTGAACAAAGAAAGTGAAAGGGAAACAGCCGATGAACGGAGTAACAGTAAACACGCAAAATTTCGCGTAACATTACATAAAATCTGAATCAAACATACATAATATAAATAAAGCGAGAACCTGATCTCCAGTGACCCTTGTTGCCGCCATCTTGTATGAACTCGAGGGCACTCATTAGATATTCAAATATCTAAAAAAAGATATATTTGCGTTTCAACAGAAACAGACAATGATGAAGTTCCAGGTGCACTCTCCTGGCAAAGTTATTCTACATGGAGAGCACGCTGTTATTTATCAAAAGCCCGCACTGGCTGCAGTCGTTGGCCTAGGCACCACGCTTCAGTTCCGCTCAGTGGCGGACAGCCAGATGGCCATCTTTCAGCTGAAGTCTCTCAACTCCACTCTGGAAATCAAATTGAGTAACTTTAATGCCTTTCTGGATAGCTTTCGCTCCAAATATCCCGGCGACAAGTTGGAGAGCACCGCTAAACTGTTGGAGGAGGTGCGTGCAGAATTGGCTAAGGAAATGGAACGTAATATGGGCACACCCAAGGCGCAGAACCAACGCGCGCTCGTTTCAATATTCTACCTACTAGCAGGCGCTGTGCTCACGTCTCCCATAGAACCCAATCTGAAACTTTCCCAGGGTTTCCAGGTGCAAGTGGATTCAGAGCTTAATGTGGGCGCCGGCTTGGGCAGCTCGGCGTCTTATGGCTCTGCCTTGGCAGCAGCTTTTCTCATTTTGGCTGGTCATTTCGACGAGAAGAGCTATTTGCAAGAGGAGAATTTAGCTTTGATTTCGCATTGGGCATACGAATCGGAGCGCGTGAATCATGGCACGCCCTCCGGCGTGGATAACACAGTGTGCACCTATGGAGGAATTCTACGCTTCGTCAAAGGCCAAGGATTTCAGCCGTTGCGCGTACAGAAACCGCTCAACATCTTACTTGTAGATAGCCGTGTGGGCCGCAGCACCGCTGATATTGTGGCGAAAGTTCGTCACTTGAGCGAAGAGTTCCCATTGCTAATCGACGCAATTTGGGAGGCTTGTGAACAGCTTGTCAATTCCGCCGTGCCATTGTACGAAAGCTTTGGCAATGGACAAGATGACAGTGAGAAGTTCGAGAAGCTCGAACGACTCTTTCAAATAAACAACGATCTGCTCAAGGCAATTGGCGTTACACATCCGAAACTGGAGCAAATATTTACAATTGCCTTCAAGCGTGGCTTCTTCTCCAAGATGACGGGCGCTGGTGCTGGTGGCTATGCCATTGTTTTGCTGCCCGAGAAGTACGAATGCAACGAGGTATACTGGAAACTAAAGGCGGAGTTGGAAGTAGCTGGCTTTGGTGTGCATGTCACTACAGCTGGCGGCGATGGACTGCGTGTGAGCTCTCTGGATAATTGATAGCTTGTTCACTTAAAACTGTATTTTATTCTAGTTGTATTTTCGTGGTTTTGTTATTGCTTAAAATAAACTACATTTTTATACACCAAACGCAATATTCCCTTGTTAGCGCTGACTTCTATCTCTTGTCTTGTATGCAATTCCTCGGTTCTTCATTTCGCGGATGGTCGATTGTGGCAAGGTGCCCGATACGGAGATGGCATAGATGCCACGCGTGAAGCGTGCTGTAAAGGTGGAACGTAAATATTTATACTATGTCTAAGCGTTGAATTGTGAGTTTCTTACAAAGACGTTGCCATTTTGCTACCCACGAATCTGTGGGTGTTGTCAGAGCAATAATGCCATCAAAATTGTTGCTTGTGTGATCGTAAACATTATCCTTGTTATTCTTCATACGCAGAAACTCTTCGCAATTTTCGCAGCCATCAGTCTCAAATTGATCGAAAGTCTATGGAAAAGGAGCGAGCAAACTAAAATGTGTTGGCGTGTCCCAATCAAATTTGTAATGCATACCTTTACAAGGGAGCACACCAGGCAGGCGCGTAGCCCACGCAAATCTTTAGGTATAGCATCAAAAGACATTACAAAAGTAAACAATAATAAAAAGCCGGTACCAAATTACTTTTTGTGAACACGGCAAGAAATGCAACTGTTCGTAAATATACCACGAAAGACTAGAGATGGAAAATGCTTTCGTGATTCTATCGATAAGGACCGATAAATATATCGTGGTATCAAATGTAGTGCTGGTAATATACCCAGTGGAGAATTCATAACAAAATTATTTAAAATTTCTTTTTAATGAATAAATCTGTTTCTTATAGTTAAAACGGATTTATTTAAATAATATAATAAGTAATATATAAGTATGTTGGTTTCATTTGCCACTGACAGTGATTTGCTTAGATTTTACTGGAACCAGTAAAAAAGAATCTTCGATAAGAGCCGAGCAACTTTCGTCATGTGTGGAGCATTCGCGATAATAGTTGATTGGCTGATTGTGTCGTCGCTTTGCTGTGAATGGCATAATATAACTTAAGAATTGCACGACAATTGGTATTTTGTTATTTTGCATAGCCGGTAGTAGAATTAAGTTATATACTCGCTAAACAAATTTACCTGCACTACAAGTGTTCAAGTTTTAACGAAGATGTCGACGTCGACGACTACCACATCGAGTCCAACGGGCAGTTCTAATGGCTCTCTAGCAATGTCATATGGCGCTGTGCCCGTGCTGCCAGGGACAAATACGCAGAAACCCTTTACGCTCTCTGAACGGTTAAATTTCGAGATTTACCGTTACTCCAGCTATTCCCCAAATTATTTGCCTGAGTAAGTCCTAGGTGTTGTTTCCTTAACTGTAAATGCACTCATGCATTTGCATGTATTGTATTGATCTTGGCAAGAGTGTATGTGTGCATAAGTGTACATACATATGTTTGCATGTATGTAGATGCATAATAGACGCGTCCCGCCCATATCATGCATTTCGTAATTGTTGACAAGTGCGCAGCTGTCGCCGTTGTCAATGTTGTGGGTATTTTTACAGTTTGTTTTCATTTGCGAATTTCAGAAACGTTCTCGTCGACTGCCCAAATGATCAAACTTCACGATGGTCCGCATACACGAACAGCCCACCACAGTTTCTCACACTGAAGCTCCGACGTCCCGCCATTGTTCAAAAAATCAAATTTGGTAAATTTGAGAAATCGCACGTGTGCAACATAAAGAAGTTTCGCGTGTTTGGTGGATTGGAAGATGAGCACATGGTGCTCTTGCTAGAAGCGTATGTAACTATAAATGCTCTATTATTCTTAAATCTACTTATATTTCGATTTTTCGCAGTGGTCTTAAAAATGATAACATACCTGAAGTATTCAACTTGCGCTGCATGACTGAGGATGGCGCCGAAAACCTGCCCATTCTCTATCTGAAGATAGTGCCATTGTTGTCTTGGGGACCATCGTTCAATTTCAGTATCTGGTACATCGAACTGCATGGCCAAGATGATCCCATGTACACGTGTGCACGAATGAAAAGCTACAATACGCTACGTGAAACTGAGATAATTAAGCTGTGCCTCAAGCACTTCCGTCAGCAGGGTTATATGAAAGCCTTTGGAGCGCTACAGGAACAAACAAATGTGCGTCTCGAGCACCCACTCATTAGCGAATTGCACAAATACTTGGTAATTAATATTATTAGATTCGAAACGAGTATAAATTTATTAAAATTGTCTCATCACAGGTGGTGCAAGGCGATTTCGAGCAGGCGGAGCGCTTCATTGTAAAGTGCATTGATGACGGCTTAATGGATGAGTATTTAAATAAGCAAGACTACAAGCATGACTGGCAAATGAAGTACACCCAAAGCGAGATAAAGCCTGGCAACCGTGGTGGCCACCAGCTGGTGGTCGATGCCAAAAAGCGTCTAATATATTTGTATGGCGGTTGGGATGGCTACCAAGATCTTAGCGACTTGTGGGTGTACAGCATTGAGCTCGACGAATGGACGCTGCTCTGTGAGCGCTCCGAGCTATCCAATGGACCCACTCCACGCTCCTGTCACAAACTAGTCTTTGATCCAATCAGCGAAAACATCTTCATGCTGGGCCGCTATTTGGACAACTCAATACGCACCAGTGATTACATCAAGAGTGATTTTTACTTGTACGACACCCGTGCCCGTAATTGGATGCAAATCTGTGATGACACCAGCCAAGTCGGTGGCCCGCAGCTTGTGTACGATCACCAGATGTGCATCGATGCCGATAAGCGCACGATTTATGTGTTTGGGGGCAAGATACTGACGCCGCGCAGCCCGACGGCTTCGACTGAGCCAGAATACTCTGGCCTATTTTCTTATCATATTGCGACAAACACTTGGACGCAGATACTCGTAGATTGTCATCATCCAAGTGCATCGCAGGCGGATGTTATGTCAATTAAATCACGAATTACCCACTGCATGGTTTTCCATAATGTATGTATATTCTCAATATGACATTTCATTTATATTTTAAATATTTGTGATTTGCAGAAACAACGAAAGCTTTACATCTACGGTGGACAGCGCGGAAAGGAGGATCTAGATGAGCTGCTTACTTACGATGTAGACTCACAGGCAATTTCACTGATAAACAAGGAGCATTCGCACCTCGGCACCAATACCAGTACTGAGGCCAAATTTGAGCCATCATCGGGCTACACATTGCGCGCTACCATTGATTGTGATCGCGATGAAATTTACGTATTCTCGGTATGTTAGTGAGTCCTTTCACTGATTCTTTCTATAACTAGTTTGTTGCTTTTACAGAGCCTTAACAAGGTTAAGGACAGGCGCGATGTGCATCATGTAGATGCGTCGAATTCTTTTTGGGTTTACTCGTTGCGCACCCATAAGTGGTCGCGCATCTATTACTGCCGACACAATGCTCAGGACGTGAACTCCATTAATAAGGCCAACTTTTTGGGTGCCAGCAAAGGCGACGATGTACTAGAGCCATGTCCACGATATGCTCATCAATTGGTGTACGATGAGGTAGCAAAGACGCATTATCTATTTGGTGGAAATCCAGGCATATTTCAATACCAGCAACTGCGCTTGGATGACTTCTGGTTACTGCACTTGGAAAAGTATTTAACTCATATTCGTTTGAAAGTTATAAAAATCCTAATTAATTTTATATTTTATAGGCCAAAACGCGAGGAGATATTGAAACATTGCCGCTATTTGGTGCGTAAGCTGCGGTATGAGGAAATGACACGTTCAGATCCGATAAAAGCGATGGAATATCTTAGACATCACATCGCTGATGTTATAGATCACACTGACACTGAGCAGTTGAACAATGTAAGCAAAAGCTAATAATCATACAGTTAAATATTTAAACAATTAACGTTATTGCAGTTTCATAAGTTGGCGTCACTGCTCTTCAAACCACACGACAACAGCCAAGACTCTGGTAGTCCCAGAGCTACGCCCGAGCTGTGTGCTGAAACCGAAGGGTACGGTGCAGAGGGAGTTGGCTCTAAAAGTAAGTTCTTCATGAATTTCTTTATAAACTTGAGTAACTAACGGTATAACTATTTCAGTTGAAATGACAGATAATGTTGGAATGGGTGCTGCTGAAAATATCTCGCTAGAGTCAAATGAGAGCTTGGCGACTTCGGGCATATCAGAGCCCACATCGAGTCCCAGTGGCTCGTCGTGCACTAAGCGTGCGCGCACCGAAGCCAATTGTGAGCTGCAAAACCGCCGCGCATACCTTTTCAACAAGCTGGTACAGCTCATGCCGGCCAGCATGGTGCAGCCGGAGCGGAACCTGAGCGACTTTGTGATTATTTAAAAGATTCTTCAACGTGCAATCAGTGCCAAAAAAGCATGCAGACGTTTCGAAATTTTATTCTATATTGAGTTGTTCTGTTTATTATTATTTAAAATGTTATGCAATTGTCTCGAACTCTGGATGTGCATGTGATACTCAAGTCGTGTTTAGCAATCGTTTTGTTTTTGAAATGTTAAGTTTATTTTTTGGCCACTGCTGAAAGTATTGCCACATGTTTAATTCAGATTTGTTTATCATAAAACACAAAAACTATGTCATTGTGATAATTAAGTTATACAGTACGAAAAGGAAAAGAAATCGGTTATTATGTTTTAGTCGAGCTACATGAATGTGTGAAACGTGTTAAATTTAAACTTTAGCTTAGATATAAAAGATAAGTTTGAAATAAAGAATTTTACACCTAATCTATGGACAATTGAAGTTTAATTAAAATTAGATAAAACAAAGCAAACATATTGTTGAGAAGTCAAGGTGTTGTTTAAGAACTATATCATTGCTATCTAGGTAATTGCTCTGCCGTTCAAGATCGCGTTTAACCCAAATTGAATTCCTTAAGTGCATTTTGCATAATTGTATCTTTGACAGCGCAGAACACAAGCTTGATGTTTTCGGTATCTGTTTGCAAATATATAGTAAATAATTAATAATATATAATTCATAAAACTACAAATTAGGGTTTAACCTGTGGCTGTGGTGAAATGCGAATAACATTGACGCTCTGGATCCGGATTGCAGGCCAGGTATTTCTTCAACACAAACTGCTTCGCTGCTGCGTGATCTTGTTTTGGACCTGTTTAAAAAAAAAAAACTTTATAAATAATATTTAAACAGGYTTAACCCCTTACTCACCATCATATTCAGTAAAATAGTCACCCATATGCGAATACATAATTTTCTCCTCGAACAAATCTTTCTTGTTCATAAATAGAATGATCGATGAGTTTTGGAACCACGGGTATGTAATTATGGTTCTGAACAAAGCTTTCGATTCCTCCATACGATTCTGAGTACAATAAATGGAGAAAACTTCAAATTATATTTTGAACAATCTAGTTAAGCTCACCTCGTTGTCAGACTCAAACAAGATCTGATCATATTCAGAGAGCGCCACCAAGAATATAATCGAGGTAACATTCTCAAAGCAATGAATCCACTTTCTTCTTTCCGAACGCTGACCGCCAACGTCCACCATTCTATAATTGATTTAAAATAATGAAAAATGTTCTATTTAATGTCCATATCTTAAACAGCGAAACCTGAAGACGATGCCATCCAAATCGAATGGATACTCCAGTATTCCAGTTGTGGGCA